GCACCACACTCCTGCCGGTCATGTGAGGTTTCTGGGCCGAATGGAAGGCTCTTCAGTCCAAATCAGTCGGTTCTTTTTTCCCTCCCCCGCGCCGGCCCAGGACTGGAATGGGACCTCTACCGCAATCTGTACGGGCAGCACTTGGCGCAGGAGGTGGTTTCGGAGGCCGTGGCCGACTTCCTGGCCAAGGACAGGCCCGACCGGCCTCTGGTGCTGTCCTTCCATGGCTCCTCGGGCACAGGCAAGACGATGGTCAGCTCCATGCTGGGCAAACACCTGTATGGCACCACCATGGGCAGCCCCTACATCCACCAGTTCATCCCCACCTTTCACTTCCCATCCGCAGAGCAAGTGCAGCACTACAAGGTACTGTATTACCTCACCTGTAACGGGTGGCGTCCCCTTGTATAGGACCTTAAAAGCTGCTGTGTTCTGCCAGGATCCAGACTGAACAGTGCTGGGGGGGGGTTTTAGCTGGAGTGTCCTGGCTGGTAGTAGGCATTGAACATTCCTGCACCCCCGGGTGCTTCAGGGTTAGTGGGTCTGACATAGAGTAATGTGCAATGTCGGAATGGTAAAGTGTGAATGAATGAAGCAGCCTGCATTGCAAATTCCATTTTAGGAGTGTGTCATAAGGTACTTAAAAAATAAAATGTAATCGGCAAGCGTTTTTATGGTACGCAGGCATAGGAGTCTGTACGCATGCAAGACTCTGCTTTTCTGCTACTACTGCTTTTTGGCCATAGAAGGATTAAGGGCCCGCAGACATGCCCCTCTGACACGCCCACCTATTCTGATTGGCTGTTCATCCCATTGACGCATGGCAAGCGCCATGGTGTCTTACGGGAGAGTCAGCTCCAACTGGAGGAGCAGTGCGTCTCGCGCTGACCTCACTGCCGGCTTGCAGGTGCCCAGCGAGATGCAGGAGACAGTGTTTCGCCGAAAAGCACGAAAGAGCCCTGTCTGCGTCTTCTGTCTTCACCCTTTTTGGGTGCCACCACTTGGGGAACTCCCACTCACGGTTAGCTAATAACCAGCTCGGCTCAGATCACAGATATCTGGGCCAATGTAATCGCAGGCTTTTGCAAGATGGAAAGATGATGAAACTTCGCCAGAAACTGCTCCGGTCCCTGCAGAGCTTGCACAGCAGAAGAGCAGTATAAC